ACCTAGGTGGGCTTATAAGACTAGATTTGAGAGGATGTGCTGTGGGGATGTACAAAGGGCTAGGAGAGTGATACAGGGGAGATCCCAGCCTGTTGTCAGTTATGCTCCAGGCTCAAGCTGGAGTAGAAGGCTCAAAGCCCATGTAGAGGCAGGGTAGAGTTTGGCTGATTTTCAGGGTTCAAGGCTTAAAGGGTGAGGGTCAGGCAGGTTTCCTAGTACAGCCCTCATTTACACTCAGAAAACTGGCACTAGACTCAGTACTCATATTTTGCAGGGAAGGGGACATGCCAAATACAGAGCCCACAGAAGGTGATTCAATCAAGTTAAGGGAGTGCAGAAGGAAGGCTTTCTTGGTGTCTGCACCACCAGTAGCACCATTTTATGGATGAGAGAACTGAGGACTACAAAGAGGAACTGATTTCTCCCAAGACCCCTGTTTACAGAGTCCAGCTTTGGTTGCTCTAGGGTCTGAACATTCAATCTTGCTGCTGGGCCATGAATGAGAGAAACTCTGGATCTGTAGGTGGGTAATACAGCAAGTCAGGGGATGGGAAGAATCATCATGTGGGGTGTTAGTGAAAGGGGTGTTGTGGATAGTCTCACATGCCTCTCTTTTTCAACTCCCTCAAACTGATCCCTCATCCCCATACACTGAGAACCAAGGCAAAGTTACAGTTGGGAAGAGGCATTCTGAGGACAGACCCTGTAAGACTTATAAAATGTTCCTCCCATTCCACTTCCTCCTGCTACCGGTGCTTCCAGGCCTCAGTTTACATTTGTTGGATTCTTTGGCTGTGTCCTTATGCTCTATCAAAGTGAGCTCTGAGCTTCCTGGGCACCAGCTCCTCATAGCAAAGGAAAAAGTGGTCATCGTGGTGAGCTGAGCTTGGCAACCACAGGTTGAACAAGGGAAAGGACTGGGCTTCCTGGAGCTTGTGCCACCACCCCAAATAGGGCCCTCCTTGTCTGCCCCTCTGAAAGCCAGTGTAGTTCTCCACGAAGGGTAGCTCTGGACAACAGCCAAGCAAGACGTGCTGGCAGTCTCTGAGAACATGGAAGAGTTGTGCCAGGCATTCAGGCCAGGCCAAGGGCAGCAGGGACAAGCCTTGAGGTCTGGCAGCTTCTGAGAGTTTGTCTGCAGATGTGGGGCTGGCAGCTGCCAAGGAGCAGACACCAAGTGCAGTCTCAGCACTCTCCTCCTTGGGCATTGGGCCCGGCTGAGCAACCCTACCTCAATTCTGATAAATGAAAGGTGCTGGCTTCTACCAAGTTGTGCTGGGCTCCTTGGACTGTACAGGTGAAGAAATGCATGAGAGACAGGAGACATTAGGCACTGCTCTTTTCTCTGATCACCAAAGGTAAGCTTGTACTTGGCCTGCTTCCTGGTGCCTTGTAAGGTCATTTAGCTCTTAACACTTGAGTGTCAAATAGAGGGATGGGATATGTGCTTCCATGTATGCCACAAGGTGAGCAGAATCTGAGCCTAGTTGGCCAGGGCCAAATCTTACTACTTGTGGCTGTGGTACTGACAGAGTAGCTGGGTAGTCAGGTATAGCCCTCCACCAAAATTGGGGGTGGACTTTACCTGAATGTAGGTGTCAGAGGTGCTGGGCACATCAAGGGAGGGCCTTCTATCTCTTATTCCTTGCCCTACCAAGAAACTTCTGGAAAGGAGCCAGACAGCAGATAACCCTGATCAGTTGGAGGTACTAGGTTTCCTAGTCCCCCAATAGACCCATATGCCTGCTCATCTTCTCCCACTTACCAACAAACTGTGGGCTCCTTCTCACCATGTGCTCAAATTTTCAAAGAACAGGAGGATGTTGTTACTTCTCAATGGTGAGAAAGGAGACTCGAGTGATATTTTTTTACCTACACCATCCCTGGTGACCATCACACTGTTAACATTAATAGGTATCTAGTAGGCTCAGAGAATTCGTCCTAAACTCTTGCCCATGAGCTCACAGTGAGGTAAAATCAGGTTGTGATGCCATTGTGTCTGTCTGTCTACCTGCTCATCCCAAGTCCCACTCCTGGAGAACGAGTAGCAAGGTAACAGGTTCCAGACCCCAAAGAGCCCCCTTTCTTCTCATGTCTTGAGGTTCTCAAACTCTCTCCCAAACACCAGGTTCTGTGCTGCTTGCCAGGAACTCTGGCTAGAGTGGGATTCAGCCTTATGCATTCAGCTGAGAAAGGCCAAGATCATCTTCAGTTTTCCAGGATCATTCATTCAGTATGAACTGCCCCTATTCCTTTGTGTGAGTGAGGTCCTGTGCTGGGATGCCTCTGTACAATCAACTGGCCTCCCTACAATAGAGAAGACCTGCTGCCAGGACTGTTGGATGTGAGGACCACACTAGAAAATGGGTGGGGCATTTGAGAGCAGGGAAAAAGAAGAAAGAGCAGGAGGGAGTAATGGTGGGTGTGGAGGTAGTGGGGAGGGTGAACAAGGAAGCTGAGGGACTCTGGTAGGTGCAGTATCAGAGGCCCTTGGTATTTTGGCCTCATTGGGGAGGCATGCTGAGAATCCTGTGGAACGAAGGACAAATGACTCCCGGGACAGACTTATGGTACTCTGTTTTTACAGGGATCGTGAGAGACCTTGGTGGGTGAGCCCAGGCAAAAGGGAGGTTGGGATGGAGTCTAGTCCCCATTTCATCCCCAAACAGGGTGACAAAGAATCAAGTCCTCTGGAGAGGATCCCAGTGTAAATTGTCAAATATAGCCTCATTATAAATCTCTCTTTAGAAGATTTGACACTGTGACTGGAGGGCTATGGAATATTGCTGAGAAAAGCTCTTTCTTACCTCTACAGCATCCCTTCCCTTCTATTCCACCATATTGCCAATCTCCCAACAGCCTAGGGCTTTAGAGGGACTGAAAAAATATTTGAGTCAGTTCTAGAAAATTATTTGACATGATAGTCACTGACTGGCAGACCCATCTGGGCTTCTAAATTAGCTGGTTCAGATTCACTTTGCAAGTAGTAAGACCTTGGCCCTTGTTCTGGGTAAGGAAGAGAAGCAGTGGTAGACCCAAGTCCTTTGAGGTAGTGAGAGAGCCAGTGTAAGAGTGTGCCAGAGAGGCTCAGCTGCCACACCCAGGTGGCCAGCTGGCTATGGAGCCTTCTCTGGATCAGAGCCTCCTCATGCTGCCTTACTCTTGTGGCTTAGAGGCAGACCAACATCCTCCTATTAGTATATTCGCATTACCTATCCTCAAAGGCTCACCCCCCTTGAGCCTTCAGGAGCAATATACAGTCATGGTCTACACAAAGCAATCCTTCCCACCCACAAGCTCTCCTAGGGTGTAGGTGGCACTGGCAACTGATTGCATGTCCAGATGCCAGCCCTTGGGACTCTTGCTGGCATAGGGAACATCTTAAGCTTCTCTTAATTCCAGTCATTACAAGGCAGAAAAGTGGCAGACTAGAGAGGCAACAGCTTCTAAACATGAAATTGGAGTTACCTATGTGCTATGCTCTTGGCCTAATGAAGATTTCCTCTGCTTGCCCCACCTACAGCTCCACCTTGCAGGGTCCTGGACCTCTTACTCTAGGCAGATGGGAGCCTGGTCCCACCCCTAGTGTAGTGACATGGTACTCCAGTCCCCCAACCTTCACCAGACTTGGTGAATGCCCAGTTGAAACTGTTTCTCTTGCTTCGTCTTCTGAATCCCTTGACAGGCTCCTCAGGGCTCCAAGCCATGTTTCTCCCTGAGAACATGGCACAATTTCCCTATTTTCTACCCCCATTCCATCCTTTGCCCATTGTGCATCTCAGCTCAAGAGGGTTCTGGAAACAGATAGTACTAAAGTAACTAGGCAGGCAACCCAGGACCCCTATAACTGGGGCACTGTGGACCCACACATTGCCCAGGAGAGGGTAGAGGCAGAACATTAATCTGTGGTAAGTATGGAATATCAGGGCAAGGTGTCTGAAGTGTGCCTGGAAGCACAAGTCTCTCTGATTACTCCAAGGGAGTCTGTGCCAGTGCTGAGTTTTGCATTGGCCCCATCCTCCCTGACCTGGCCAGGTGCCAAGACCCCAAGAAAGGCTGAGTTGGGAGAGCAAGGCTAGCAGGAGTGAAGGGTGTGCCTGGGCCTTGCCATGAAGGGATAGGGCTAAGGGTAGAGCTAGCATGCCATCCACCCAGCCCTGCCTCAGTGATGCTGTGGGCAGTACCCCGGGGGAGTTCCCTGTCCAACCCCAGAAGCAGAGAAGCAAAGCATAGGTGAGCTTAGCAACTAAGAATGGGCAGAGAGGAAAGGGAAAGGAAGGGTAGGAAGAAAGTTCAGGGAAAAGGGGGGGGAGAGAAGAGGCAGAAATGTGGTGTTGATGAAAAGGACACAAAGCCTTTGGTGGGTGCCCTGAGGGAATAGAGAAAGCCCCAAGGAGGCAGTGAAAAAGTGTAGACACTGGGGTGGCAAGACTATAGATGCAAAAGAGCTGGTGTGGAGGCAGCAGGATTGCCAGCAATTTTAGTTGGTGAGGGTACAGCAAAGCCAGAAATGAATACAGAGAGAACAGTTTGAGGTCTTTGTGGAGAGAGTGGAGTCAGTTCCCCGGCTTAAGCAGGCCCTACCTGGGGAGGGGGAAGCAGCCAGGTGCAGGCTGGTTAGTTGGTGGACTGGGATGTCAGGCTGTAGGTTTGTCTGTCCGTCAGGGCCAACCGGGAGCAGCTGCTCGCTCCTGGGCAGTTCGTGGAGAGAGGGAGACAGAGGCGGTGGGAGGGAGGCTAAAGGCTGGGCGGGCGGGCCAACAGGGAGGGACGGGGCGGAGAGGGAGGCAAGGAGGGAGGGGGCTAGTGGAGCAGAGAGGGAGAAAACGAGGGAGGAAGGGCAGCTGGAGGGAGGGGGCAGGAAGCCTGCCCCTGGAAGCTTCAAAGGAAATAATTTTTTTTTGTAGATGGCTGGGCTATGTGGCACCCCTCCTCCTCACGCCCCCCCCACTCAAGCATAGTTTGAAAGGACACACATTCACTTAGGGACAGACCCTTGGTGTCTTTGGGCAGACAGTCTCACAGAGCCATACTTTCCACTGTCCAAAATGGGACACTGAGGTGCTTGCTGTCATGCTGCCAGGCAGAAGAAAGTGAGAGGAAGAGAAAGGTAACCTGATGGCTACCCAGAACCTCATCTGAAACTGGGTGGTGGTTTGGGGATCAGAGAAGTAGAGGATTGTAGGTTTCTGGAAGGGCTTGATCCAGGCTCCTACTGACTCTGTTAGCTTTTCCTCTTCTCCATCCCTTCCTCCTTTAAAAAGAGGCATTTGCCCCCAGAGTCTACAGGCCTTCTTGGCTCACATCCCTGAAGCCTTTGAGAAGTTGTCAAAGCTGATTTAGAGGAGAGAAACAAACTCCTTATCTTCTTGCTCAACCCCTACAGGCTGGCCAGTAAGCAGTAACTATGATCTCTCTTGGGGAGCATTTCCTCCCTTCAATTTCAGGACCTAACTGGGCTAGGCTGCCAAACCTCAGCTGCTTCTTGAGGGTACAAATGAGAGTGTAGCATCTACCTGTCCAGTAATGTCCTACCTCTCCTTTGCCAGGGCAGCTTCCAAGATGTAAAGGTGAGCCCTTAGATGGTGGGAGAGACTGAATCGGGGAGCCACACTGAAATCTGAAGAAGGAACCGGGGACTGAGTGTAAGGAAGGGCAAACAAAGAAACTTCAGGTGAAGGGGCAGAAGCAGAGAGGGGGGAGGGGAGGAGGG